ATCAGAAAAAAATAATTCCAATTTTACTCAATTTCTATCAAAGAAGAGAAAAATAGACATCATCTCCAAATAGTTTCATGAAAACATCTTTTTTTTTTTTTTTTAGTGCACCAGTCTCATTTTACATTTCCTGTTCCAGACCTGAAATCAGCCCTTTCTCCAATGAATCTGGGATGGCTGCTGTGGGTGCCCTGCCTGGAGCCATTCCACCTGGCCAGTGTTCTCCCAGCTGCTCTAAGTGTTAACTGCTAATGGTTCACAGCTGTCCCTTCTTCAAAGCACTCCCCTGGGGTCCCTGGAGCTTCCTCACACTCCCATCTCAGAAGCTCAAGGTTAATGACTAACTGATGTCAGGGACAAAAGGCTGGCTTTATGTTGTAACTAACTCTGTTGTGTACTTGGTGCCCCAGAGCCCAATGGAGGGCCAGGCTGAAGCTCCTCTCCATCCAAGCCGAAGTCCTTGATTAGATATTTCCCCTACCCCAGCCTGCTTCCCCTACTCTCCTCCTGAGAGCTCACCCTCAATAAATCTCTTTCACAAGAATCCCCCTCTCAAGCTCTACTTAAGGAACCCAACAAAAGACACAGCCTTAGTTTGTTTCAATGAGAAATGATATTAGGATGCCATAATATGGGCATTATTACTGGATTGGTCAATGGGGTTTTGTGTCTTTTCGGTGGACAGAGCTAGAAAATGTTTTTTGTAATAAAAAAAATTATTATGAGTTCAAACTCATATTTCCAATTCAATTTTAGGATTATAGGAATTTACGTAACTTTTCTGATTTTATACCTGCGTCTCTTCTCTTTCCCACTGAAAATCTTGACTCCTAACAATATAAACTTATTTATCTACTTACTAAATAAAGTTTCTGAAAAGTTTTTGACACAAGGATGCAAACTGATCATGAAATAATACAACGTTTTGAGTTCATATTCAAGTTTACATTGTTTTAGATCAATATCGTTTATTCCATATTTTAGTCCTTTAACTCATTTGCCAATCTATTATAGAATAGCCCTTAAAACCTCAACTAAGAGTTGACATTCCAAATAGTTTCTCTTTTTTAAGAATAATGATACCAAGTCTTGCCATCTGATATTCAATCCACAGTCATGCCCACACTACATGCATAAGGCCATGTCCTCCAATTAGTAATTAAGTCCTTTTCTTAGAGTTTTCAACTTGTAATTACCTCCTGTTTACCTTGTGCCTCTAATACTTCATGATAGTTTAATTATTTTTGTTGAGCTATAATTGACATATAACACGGTATTAGTTTTAGGTGTACAACATAGCATAATGATTTGATGTATGTCTATATTGTGAAATGACTACCACAATAAGTTTAGTTAACATCCATCACCACAAATAGTTACAAATTTTTTTTGGCTTGTGTTAAGAACTTTTGAGATTTACTCTCAGCAACTTTCAAATATACAGTATAGGACGGTTAACTATAGTCACCACGCTCTACATTATATCCAAGGACTTATTTATCTTATAACTGGAAATTTGTACCTTTTGACCACCTTCACCCATTTCTCTCATCTGGCAACCACCAATCTGTTCTCTGTATCTCTAAGCTCTTGATTCCACATATAAGTGAGATCGTACAGTTTTTGCCTTTCTCTGCCTGACCTATTTTACTTAGCATAATGCCCTCAAGTTCCATCCATATTATCACAAGTGGCAAGATTTTCTTTTCTATGGATGAATAATATTTCATTGTTTAAATATATACCACATTTCCTTTATCCATTCATCCCATCCACTGGTGGATGCACTTAGGCTGCTTCCATGTCTTGGCCATTGTAATAATGCTGCAATGAACATTATTCATTGTTCATTGGGACAATATCTCCCCGATACACGGGGAGCAGATATCTTTTCAAGACAGTGATTTTTTTCCTTCAGATAAATACCCAGATTCAGATCAAAATCCCAATAGGTTTATTTTTTTTTTTAACTAAAAGTGCATCTAAATTTTTTTGGTAGAGCAAAGGTCCAAGAATAGACAAGAGACTTCTGAATTAGTCAAATAATTCAGGAGGATTTCTCCTACCAGATATCAAGACTTACAAACTATGCTAAAACTATACAGTAATAGATCAATAGACAAAGGTAACAGAATGGGAGTCCAGAAAGTGACCTGCACGTAAATGGAAAACTGGACTCTCATTTTGCTCTGTTTCAGAGCTGGCATAGCCAATTAGTAAAGAAATGATAGACTTTAAATCAATGATTTTAGAGCAATTAATTTTTCATTTGAAGGAAATGAAAATTGATTCCCATCAAATCTTATCATAGGCAAAATTTTATTATAGTTGGATTCAATAGCATACAGTTTTTAAAAGACAATATAGTCTATAAAGAAAATGAAAGACAAGCCAGAAATAGGGAGCTGATATTTGTAGATGTTTGCAATATTTGACACAGAATTAGGATAGAGAATATGTAAAGAGTGACTGTGAAAGATAACCAAATTAAAAATTGGCAAAGTGCTTGAATTAGCATTTCACAGAAGAGGAAAATGGCCACAAACATGAGGAAATAGGCTCAACAGTATTAATAAGGAGATACATACAAACTAAAACCACAATACAATGGCATTTTACAGTAACCCAAAATTAGAAAGTCTCATAATGTTAAGTTCTGAAGAGAATAGGAAATAATAATAATAACACAAGGCTGACAGGGTAACGCTGATGGTTAATCATTTTAGAAAATAATTTTTCTTTGTCTAGGGTCCAGGAATTCCAAATTGAGGCACATTCTGGTAGATGTGCACCATAAGAATGATAGAAAATTTTAAGGAAATGTATAAAAATTTGTAGCATATTCATATAATGGAATACTATATAAGCAATAAATGTGATTGAACTCAGTTATATGATGAATCTCAGGAACACAGAGCAACATTAAATGAAAAAAGAAGCCAGGTACAGAAGAACACATTTGATATAACCCCACTTACATAAAGTTCAGAAACATGTACATGGGGTTAACTATAAAGAAAATCAAAGAAATGTAAAATAAATTCCAGGACTCTAATGTTATAGTTATTGGAGAGCAGCTGGGCAATGCAAATGGATCGGGAACTGCGTTCAGGCCTTCAGAGTACTGGTACTTAATTTTTATATGTGGGTAGTTGTTTTATTGGTTTAAAAGCCTGTATATTTATTAAAGAATTTTTATATAAATTAAATATTTCAGAATGTTTTCTTTAAAATCAAGCTATAAAAAGTCCAATATAGTTATAGAAGGATAGAAGGAAAGAAGGAAGAAAGGAAATAGTAGAGATTGTAAAATTTTCAAACACAGTGAATTGATCATTTTAAACAAGTATTTATTGAGTAATTAATATGTGCCCCCCAAAAGCCAACTTATGATTAGGTAATGAGTATGCCCTTAATATATTTAATAGATCTAAAGCTCAGAAAGTCCTCTGATAAAATAAAAAAACAATGTTTTACTTTGTAAACTAACATCCTACATTGCTCTCTTGAAAAACAAGATTATTTTCTAAGAATTATATAACAGACAGAAACTATAATTTAAATGTTTGATTAATTAGACATCTATTTTTTTAACTTCTATGTGAAAAATAATCATCATAAACAAATTTGAAAAGCAAGTGGAAATTTGGAAAACAAAACTTCATATCAGACAAAAATTTTATATCCCCAATTAGTAATGATGTCTCAGGGAAAAAAACAAAAAATAAATAAATAGAGCTCCCTCCCAAAAAAAGGGGGGAGCAAAAGATACAAACAGGTAATACATCAAATAATAAATGTTAAAGATCCAAAAATACTAATTAATCAATGAAACATCAATACAGAGGAGCTTTTGAAGTTATTTTTTAACGTTTCAATTTATGAAAGATTTACAGAGTGTATGTTGTTACAGGCTGGCCGTATTTCTACTCCTCTGCCTTGCTGGTACTAAAGGAACTTGGTTTAACTTTTCAAGTTAAATTTTAAGTTTTCAAGTGCATATGGCAATATTTTTCAAAACAGAAAATGTACATATCTTTTGACTAAACAATTACACTTCTAGAAATGTTTTCAGGAAAAAAACAACAGCTTTTCAAAGGCATATGTATTAAGGGGTTTATCACAGCATTATTTACAATAATTAAAATTTGAAAATCATATTCATCACTAGGAGGTTGGTTTAATAAGTTATACACTTACGTAAATAGACTACTATGCTAACATTTAAATGATCATGTCAATCAATGTTAATGATACAGAAAATGTCTGATGGTTGATTATAGATCTTACACTGGTTTCTCTAAATGATGGAATTTTATGGGATTTTCATTTTCTTCTTTACAAATTTATTTTATTTAACAATGAATGTATCTATATATTAATAAGCAAAAAGACACACCCCGATATTTAAAAAAACAAGAGAGAAAATAAATCCTGTAACATATATGCATATTATTAGCAAGTTGGTCTTCAAGAATATAACAGCTACCACTTATTAGATATCCATTTTATGTCAACTGTGATTTTCTAAAAACCTTGAAAAGTATGGCTTCGAGAAGTTAAGTAACGTGCTCAAGTCTAAACAGCAAAGGAACAGTTTACTTATCACTTTGAATTCAGTTCCTGTCGCTTTCACTATCCATGCTATTGCATAACACATGAGGTTCTCAACCTTGAATTAAGGGACCAGACCACCATGGACAAGCCTCAGAGGGTCTGTGAAGCTGCTGAAATTGCAGGCAAAATTGCATTTGTACATGAATTTTTCTTGGGTGAGAGTCTGCATCTTTTATCATAAACTTCTTTTATACAATCTCAAAAGATTAAGGACCCCTGCCTTTGAGGGAGCATAGATTCACCTAAGATTATTAACCTCTTCTTTTTTTTCTTTTTGGTGAGGAAGAGTCACCCTGAGCTAACATCCATTGCCAACCTTCCTCTTTTCTTGCTTGAGGAAAATCAGCCCTGAGCTAACATCTGTGCCAATCTTCCTCCATTTTTTGTATGCAAGATGCCTCCACAGCATGGCCAATGAGTGGAGTAGGTCCACACCCGGGATTCAAACACATGAATCCAGGCTGCTGATGCGGAGTGTGCAGAACCCCAACCACTCAGCCAAGGGGCCAGCCCCTATTAACCTCTTAAGGTGCTAGTACCCTCCTAGCAGAGGACAATATGTTCTCCTCGCTTTCTGTCATCCTCTCTTGCCACATCCAGCCCCTTGTCTTTATGAGCTTTGAAGGTTTTCTCTCTTTTTAAAAATTTCATTTATTTAAAATTTGCACATATTTAAGCTGTACAACATGATGAAGTGATATACATATGCATAGTGAGAGTTTTCTTTGAGAATGAATAGGCAGCTGCTGCATGAAACTACTTCCTCTGACTGTGTGGCCAGCACTTCATGCATACAGAGCAGAAGTCCAGGCCTGGCTGCCTTGGGACAGCTTCCTGAACTTCAGTGTGTCTGTACGATGAGGGCCTTGACCTTGGTGGAGGACACCAAAGAGAGCCAACACCTCCTCACATTGACTTTTTACCTTTGTTTTGACAGCAACCATCTGGCCACCCACGGCAATACTACAGTTCAGTGCTAGCACTAACTACCTGGAGTCTGTGCAGACCCCATGGGTTAAAGGTCACGTTCCCAACAGGACTGCCCCCCTTTCCAGTGCCAGCCACATTTTGAAGGTCCTCAGGCCACCAGCCCTTCTGAACAACTGGTTACAAGTTCAGGGGTTCCCACGATGCCCACAGGTTTGATAATTTGCTAGAATGACTCAGGAAAGTGCTGTACTTGCGATTACATTTTTATTATAAAGGATGCAAATGAGGAACAGTTTAATGAAGAGACACATAGGGCAAGGCCTGGAGGGCCCCAAATGCAGAGCTTTCACGCCCTCTTCTCGTGGAATCGAGGTGCATCACGTCACACCCTCCACCATATCAGTGTGTTCACCAACCAGGAAGGTCCTCTGAGCCAGTGTCCAGAGCTTTTCCTGGGCTTCCGTTACATAGGCTTGATTGATTAAATCATTGGCCACGTGATTGAGCTCAGTCTCCACCCCCTTCCCTCCCTGGAAGTTGAGCTGACTCAAAGACCAACTCTTTAATCTTTTGGTTGGTCTTTCTGGCGACGAGCCTCTGTCCTATCTAGGGGCCCACAATGAGTCACCTCACTAGCATAAAATCAGGTATGATCCCAGGGGCCGACAAGTAGCAAAGACCCTTCCATCACTCAGGAAATGCCAAGGGCTTCTAAGCTTTATGCCCGGAACCTGGGACAAAGATCAGACAAATTCTTCATTATACAACCACCTTACTCTGTCCATATCTCTTTTCCACTTCTCATTTTACTTCCTTTCCTTAACACGCTCTTTTTTTCTTTCTTTAGTCCACTTTTTAACTATTCCTCTGGCTTTGTCCTGTTACTTGAATTTTGAACAGAAAATGTTGCCTACTGTCCCGTGAAGGAGAAACATGTAAAAGGACCATACGTATTTACAGGCAGCTATACAGAACACCAACTATTCAGATTATCTGTAGGAGAAGGTTATATAAATGAGCCCTCTGGAAATTAAAGGCAGGAGCAACAAAAGATAAAAGTCAAACACGTGATGCAAGAGAAAAAACATGCTACTCGTTCAAATGTTTCTTTATCATTGAAAATGATGTTTCTTAAATTTTAGGGCACATGCAGGTCTCCTGAGGATCTTGTTAACATGCAGATTCTTGTTCAATAGCTCTGAGGTGGGGCCCAAGGGTCTGCACAGGACCACCTGCATAAAGTGTGGAATCCAGTGCAAAATGAAAAATCAGGGCCCTTTGCTCAAAAATTGGGAATTTCAAGTTGGCAACAGCAGTGTATTAAACCAAGCACAGAGCCTTTCTGAGCACAAGTCACACGTCGATGGTCCCTGGATGTGCACCTCTAACAAGCACCCAGGTGAGGCTTACACTGATGAGGCGGGGACCGTAATTTGAGCAGTAACCATCTAAATGTTCTAAATCGCTTGCCCTCCATTTTGAATTTATAATTTTGTTTATTATTTTCCTTAAAATAAAATACTTATTTGAGAAATTAACCAAGAAATGTGAATGCTAGAATTATCACAGAGACTATTTGTTTTTGTTTTTGCTGTAAGATATTCAGGGAATAATACAGTACATGGACATGTAAGAGATTTGTTCTTATTTTCTCTCCTTCCTTCTTTCCATTCCGACTTTCCTCCTTCCCATCACTTCCTTTCTATCCCAAATTCTGGACTTTAAATCACCTGCATGAGAATGCCCTTTCTCCTCTACTTTCAGTTCTATTCACATTCACTTCTTCCAGGAAGTCCACGCCACTGTCAGGTATCTTGGCTCCATGCTTGTGTGTAACTGCCTGTGTCACTCAGCTGGTCCTCAGTGACTCCTCAGCAGGTGCACTCTGGCAACAGAAATATGAGTGATATGTGTGATTTCTACAGAGCAGAGGGTTTCACTCTGAAGTAGCCATAATTTTTCCCACCATTTTGTTATGGAAATATTTCTAAAATATATTACCCACGTACATTGCCTTTCAAACAGAGGATGAAGAACATGCTCTCGATCCTGGGGTTCAGTTAGTATTTTATGGAGAGCTGTGATACGGTAGACCCCTCAGAGCTGCTGTGACTGGTGAGGTCACTTGCTTCTACACAAAATGATCCAGGCCACAGAAAGTTGGACTTCTTGCTTTTATTCTTTTGTGTTTTAAAAAATTCTCCACAAATCGTCATCTGTAACTTCTTAGTGTTGTCAGTTTGTTTGGCTAAAATAGAACTTCCACTGTCAAACTTTGCATTTTTAATGTTATTTTGAAAAATAATATAGACAATCTTATTAAGATAGTCCTGTGGCAAATTAACAGTCATTTATGTAGACTATGGACATACAGAATTCACTTATGAATAAAGAACTGAACTTTAAGTTTCGGTACATTGGTTCTGTAACATCAATTTTGAATACTCGGGGATCTTTTTTCCCTTCTGTATTGTTGATGAAACTCTCAGTGATCCAGATAGTTATAGGCTTTTCATGAGTTTGTCTGACAATAAAGTCCCCAATTTTAATTTACATTTAAGTTCCAACGATCACTAGGATTATATGTATATTTTAGAGTGGATTAGTCTCCAATTTCCAAGTTTTTTAGTTTTTTAAAACTATGAAATAGCTTTAGTCCCTATCTTTAAATGTTTCTAAATTCATATGTAATAAATCACTTTGATACTCAATTGTTCAGAGGTTGATCATCCAGCATCTAGATAATTTGGCATCTTTTCATCCTCACTGTGTCTCTCCTAGGTAACACACACACACACACACACACACACACATACATACACATACATACAAAAACAGACACCCGTATATAGGCACACATGTATACATATCACATTAAAGAGAAATTGAAAAGGGGAAAGGAAAGAGGAATTCCTAGGGTGGGCAATTTGGGGAAGAGAGATGAGATGCCAATGGTGGTGAAATAAAAACCCAGCACAGATTCCTGTTCCTCATGAGCTTATGTTTCCATCAGGATTACTGAAGCAGCTAGTGTTCCTTTTGGCATTTGCAACTATAACACAAAAAATTGCAGAGAACTGAAAACTCTCCAGATTTATTTAGGCAAAACATAAGCCAGGAAACAACAAAGCACCTTTTGGGACTAAGACAGGAGCAGGAGTTGAAGGAGGGCCCGAGAGGAGGGGGCTTGGTGTGGAAGTCATTCTCTATCAATGACCCCAAAACACAGAACGGTGATGTAAAAAGACATCTCAGTCCAAATACGTTGTCTGTGATAAGGAGACTAAAAACTCCTAAAATTACCCAAGCAGAGAAGGAAACTCGATCCGACTACACTCAGATCAGATGCATTTCAGCAGCACCATTTGCTCTATATAATTCTTGAGTTTCTAATCAGGAACTCTGTTGCTAATCCCTCTGCTTTCTTTCTTCTTGACCTCACATACCTCTGAGCGTGTACATGCAGGAAGAGAGAAATGGCTTGTGCAAAGGCCTAAAATAGTGCACAGTTCTGTCATAAGGTCATCCTGAATCAACTGAGAGCAGCAGAGGAAATGGCATGCAAAAACCTAGAAGACAGCAACTGTTTTTGCTCTCATCCACGTAGCTTTGGAGCCACCAGATGGCGATGTTGCAGACCATCGTTTAGAGCCTCCAGACGTAGTGGACAAGTGAGAAATGGGAGGAAGTGCTAGTTAAAGTGAACCCTGGAGTGTGCCGGTGTGTTGGTCCCCAGCTGAAAAACCAATTCGGGGAAAGACAACAGCAACTTAAAGCTGAGGACAACTTTCCTTCAAAAGTTCATTCTGCAACTGCAGCTTCCACGGGGTTAGATCATTTTTGCCTCACCAGTCAGATCATCTGTGAAAGGAAGGAAGTTTTCCCAGAGCCAAAGTTTACTTGATGACTCCAGAGCAAGAGACAAACCCAGATAACCCTGTGAAACTAGCCAAAATCAGTTCTCAAGATCTTCCATTGACAAGATCTCTCATTGTGACCCATTGCCCACACTGGCAACACCTGCACACACTTATCTTTTAGAATGTGAATGTTGCAGAGTTACCAATAACCACACTGGCCAACCAAAGAAAGCTCCCATTGATTTCCTGTGTTGTAAATTGATCCAGATAATTTCTGTAGCTTATGGGGCTCATTAACTCACTAATTTGAAATAATCTGAACATAAACTGAGTTAAAGTTTTCTCTCGCCCTGTGTCCAGATTCATTTAACTCAATTTCTTGAAGCATAGTACTAAGGAGGCTCAATATACAATGTCCACTAGATTTTACTATGTACTATTGACAGACTCAGCTCCCAAAGCTGGCTATCCATCTAGAATTAAGGTCAGAAGAGGAAGTTAAGAGTAGGGACAGAAAAAAGAACGTGAATGAAGAAATAGAAATATACTCTAATTACTGGAGGGCAAAAGACCTCAAATCCAATGTCTGGTTTTGGTTCAAGGTAAGATTGAGTAAGCACACCCCACACTGTCTCTCCCATCGTCTGCAGCTATGTAACCTATACAGAGTGCACGAGCATCTCTGTGAGGACTCTAAATAGTAAATAGCAGCAGGAGGGTTGGGCAAGAAGACTAAATTTGAAGTGCCACTGTATTGGCTGGGATATCACATTTTTCTTCCCCTCTCCCCTCTATGGACACATAGCAGCAGAGAACCTGGAAGCAGGCACTGACCTGTGGACAGAGGGCACTTCAGGAGAAGACTGGAAAAGAAATTAAACTCTCTCTTCACAGATGACGTGATTTGCTGTGTAGAAAACCTCAAAAAATCTGCAAAAAAAGCTCCTAGAAATAATGAGTTTAGCAAAATCACAGGATATGAGGCAACACACAAAAATCAATTGTATTTATATATAGCAGCAATGAACAGATGGGAACAGAAATTTTTTTAAAAATCACTGCTTACAGTAGCTTTAAAAAAACACAAAATACTTAGACATAAATCTCACAAAACCTGTACTGTATCTCTATGCTGAACACCGTAAAATGCTGATGAAAGAAATCAAAGAGACCTAAGCAAATGGAGGGACATACAGAGCTCATGTATTGGAAGACACACAAAGATGTCAATTCTTACACTGAGCTATAGGTAACATAATTCTAACAGTAAAAAGCAAACAATCCAACTAAAAGTGGGCAAAAATCTTGAGTCGACACTTCATCTAAGAGTGTTTATATATGGTAAAACACATACTTGAAAAGGTAATATCACTAGCCATCGAGGAAGTGCAAATTAAAACCACACGCGATACTTCTCTATACCTACCACAATGGCTAAAATAAAACATACTGATAATGCCAAGTGGTGGTGAGGACACAGGGCAGCTGGAAAGCTCTTATATCGCTAGTAGAAATGCAAAATAGAACAGACGCTCTGGAAAATAGTTTGGCAGTTTTTATAAAGCTAAACGTGTATTTACCATAGGACCCAGAAATCCTACTTCTGGGTATTTTACTTCAGAGATGGGAAAATTTGTGTTCACACAAAAAGTAAGTACATCAAATGTGTATAGCAGATGTATTCATAATTGCTAAATCTGGAAACAATACAGGTGTCTTTAATGAGTGAATGGATAGACAAACAGTGATACATCCCTACGATGGAATACTACTCCACAGTGAAAAGGAACAGACCAGTGATACACACGACAACTTGGATGACTTGACTCCAAGGGCATTAAGTGGAGTGAAGGGAACCAGTCTCAAAGGTCATCCACTGCATGATTCCATTTATAGGCTAGTCTCAAAAAGACAAATCTACGGTAATGGAGGATATGTCAGTGTTTGCCAAGACGTAGGGGCACGCAAGTCCACAAAGAGGTTGCACCAGGGAGTCTTTTTGGGGAGATGGAACTGTTCTGCATCCTGGGGTTACACTAACCTGTAAATGTGGTAATATTCAGAGAACCGTATACCCCCAAAAGATCCAATTTTATCAGATATCAATCTAAAAAATAAAATTAATGTCTACTCGATGTGTCACATTTTACTCTGTGGGGAAAAAGTCTGCAAAGAAAATGAATTGTTCACACTGTTGTATGACAGACACTACACATCCATTATCTCATTTAATCCATACAAGTCTTCATTTGGTTGGGTTTTATTATTCCCATGTTAAAGATAGAAATGGGCATTTAGGATGGTTAAGTAGAGTGTCCAAGATTAGATAGCTAGTAAACAGAAGGATAAAAATTTGAAAAGACATTTGTCTGCTTTCAAAGACTCTATGCCTACCTGCTATGCTGCAGCTTCCCCATCACTTAATTAAAGGAGCTATATTAATGCTACCTAAAATACAAGCTTTTGAATCAGTTTTGATACTATATTTACAACATAAATCATCTATTTAGGACCGGCCCAACGCAGCAGTTATGTGCGCACGTTCTGCTTCGGAGGCCTGGGGTTCGCTGGTTTGGATCCCAGGTGTGGACATGGCACCACTTGGCACGCCATGCTGTGGTAGGCGTCCCACATATAAAGGAGAGGAAGGTGGGCATGGATGTTAGCTCAGGGCCAGTCTTCCTCAGCAAAAAGAGGAGGATTGGCAGCAAATGTTAGCTCTGGGCTAATCTTCCTAAAAACAAAACACATCTATTTATTAAACTAGCCCCGGGAGAACTTCTACTTTGAAATATCTTATTGGCTATTGGTTAGTTTTTCTGTATAGTTCTAGAAAGTCTTTCCCCAAATCCTATAATTGAAGGCTCTATTTAATTCTGATTTCCCCTACCTTTGCTTATCACATGTGGATAAGGCTTTTATTTTACAACACCTTTCACAGATGAAAGAATCCATTTCTGAGGTTGTTCTATCTCAAAGCTGAAGTCTTGCTCATGCCCTAATTAAACGTGGCATTGCTATTTAAACCCTCTGATTTAAGAACAAGGTGTATAGTGGTTCAAGCCTTTGAAGTAAAACACTGCTACATGTGCAGCTGGGAGAGCGACAGTAATCCACACCTGTGTGTGGAACCTGTTGAACCCACCCAGAGAGAAGTGCACAAGTTCTCTCCAAAGGAAAGGAAGGGTAGGTACCACATTCCTGCCATCACTTGGTCACACATCATTTATGCCACAAAATAAAAAATCTGACTCTAAATCAAATGACTTTAACATCTTCTATAATAGATAGGCATTCTCATTTTTGCCACTCGACACACTCCACAGGCCTGGATCCGGCACCCCATGTCCAGGGAGTGCAATTGTCTAAAGAGGGCAAGAAGCCAGCTTCTGGTAGAGAAATCCTACATATGCCGTTGCGGGTGTCAGATAGAGCCCAGTTCCAACTCACCTGGACAAGGAAGCAGAGCAGGGAGCTCAGATTTAGGCCTCTAAGTGAGGAGATTTGTTAAAAACATACAAATTGTTCCTGACTTACAATCCAGTGAGTAAAAAGTACTAGGGATGCGTGGAGATAGACTTTCAAATATAAGTAAGTATACACGCACTTCCTTCCCTCCACAGCTTTCCTCGTATTTAGGTCTGGGTGAAGAAAGGAAGGTCGTCACAGGTGACTCCTGTGAGCCTCACGTCTAGAAGGGGCCAGGCAGCTCCTTCTCTGCCCTTTCCGGGGAGACAGAGGGCAGAGAATAGAACATATTTCTATCTTTCTTACTTGTTCCTTCTGCACCTGCTCTGGCTCATAGGCTTAACAACCCTTGCCTGAACTATTTTAATAGCATTATAAACTGATCATGCTATCTCCAAGTTCTCCTCACAGCCAAAATATCACAGATATATTTCTAAAACTCAAATCGATTTATGTTACTTCATTACTTAGAAGTTTTCAAAGGATAAGATAGAGGGCAGACTATTTAGCAGAACATTCAGGACCCTTCAAAATCAAAACTCAATCTACCTTTCCAATGTCATCCCCTGCTGTTCTCCACTGTACATCCCACGATGGAACAAACCTATTGTTATTCTCTAAACACACTCTGGTTTCATCCCCTGTCTTTGCGAGTGCTATTCCATCTGCCAACAAGAGCTTTCCCATCCCACCACCCGGTGAAACAAGACTTGGCCTGTAAGACCTAACTCAACTATGACTCCCACAATGGACTTCTTCATCACCTACTGTTGGAAAGAAGTAACACAGATCTGTAATGTGTCCCTCACATGGTACAGCTATTATAGGTGATCAGTAAATGCTACTTACTCTTAATTAAACCTTCTCTTGCTCTCTCATAGTATTTCTTCATGGTGCCTCATGCTCATAGCAGCTTATTTTGATATTTTTAAGCTCAATTTCCAATGTTGGGGGATTCGGGATTCCACACCAACAAACAATTCTTGGACATTAGTAGGATTTTTGAGACTTCAACTCAATTCAACTCAATTCTGACAGTATCTACCAGGAGATAATATCAGATTCCACATGTTAAGGGTTCAGTCCTACAAGACTGCCGTCCACTTCAGATGCTAATTGCAAACCCAGGCTGTCATCTGTGCTTCTGACTAACAGCTATAGATCAGAGGTTCCAATGACCCCCTCCTTGGGTTTGGTTAATTTTCTAGAGTGACTCACAGAACGTAGTGAAAGATTTTACTTACTAGAACACTGGTTTGTTATAAAAGGATCTAACTCAGGAACAGCCAGATGGAAGAGATGCATGGGACAAGGTATGTGAGAAGCACTGCAGAGCTTCCATGTCCGCTCCAGGAATTCCATTCTTCCTGTATCTCCACATGTTCACCAACCCAGAAGCTCTTCAAACCCTGTCCTTTGGGTTTTTATGGAGGCTTCCTTACACTGGCATGATTGATTGAATCATTGACCATTGGTGATTGAACTCACTCTCTAGCCCCTCTCCTCTCCTGGGAGGTCAGGTCGGGGTGGGAGGTGGGGGGACTGAAAGTTCCAACCCTCTAATCACATGGTTGGCTCCACTGCCAACCAGCCCCTGTCCTTAGGTGCTTTCAAAAGTTGCCTCACTAACATTTATCAACTTTCAATGCTTAGGAAATTCCAAGGATTTGGGGAGCTATGAGCCAGGAACTTTAGAGGAAAACCTAATATATTTGAGAAATATATTTTGGTCACCTGAATGACCAAATATGTATTTTTCTTATAAATCACAATATCTCAGTATGATAAGTAACTGTATATATATATCTGTTTCCCTCGCTACAATCACATATTTTTGAGGGAAGAAATTAAGCACTACTTATTTTGCTGGTACTTACCATGGAGCTGCTTGACTAATGTCAAAGGAAGAGAAGGAAGAAGAGGAAGAAAAGAATTAAGAGAAGAGACATCACTGGCCAGGAGGTGAGTGGTCACCCAATTATCCAGAAAGACTGAGCCTATGATGAGAAGAGATTCTCCCAGAAGACAGTGGTAGTGTCTTTAATGACTTCGCATCTTTTTATTTTACCACTGCCAGGGAAGCAGGTAAACATAATCCTTTATGACAACAAGGAGCTGTGATGCGCTGGTAGATGTTTCACCAGCCAACCACCTCCTACCCTGTGGTAGGAATTTAAGTGAAAGTAAACCCATTCCCACCATACCAGCCTCTAGGATTTCCTGATCTGGTCTGCAAGCTGGTTGGGTGTATAAGGCAACCTCCAAGGAAAATTTTCACTATTTTCTGTTACTTTTACTGCAAGCACAAAATTAATGACAATAACAACTATTAGTATTAATAATTTTATCAATACGATCACAGTGTCAGTTGGGCACCTACCACATAGACAGGCACTGTGCTAGGCGTTTTCAACAAGTTATATCAGAGATCATGGAAACACAGACACAGGTTATGTTTATGTGAACAAGGTGCTATTTCCTTTCCCACTAACGAACGCAAATACTATACAAATAACTCTTCATTCAAGAGTCCAGAGAAGCCGTGTCATATGGAGGGACCGCAGCATCCTGGAGAAAGGAGAATGGCAGGCTCTGACGGTTGTTGTGGGATGCTAGCTAATAACTGCCCAGATCGGGGCCACAGCATCCTAACCTATAAAACAAGGGTCTTGATCCACACCATTGCTTCTTGAACTTCAATGCGCATGTGAACCACCTGGAAATCTCGTTTAAGGCGTGATCTGATTCCGTAGGGCTGGGGTGGGAATTCTACATGTCTGACGAGATTCCTGATGAGGGCCGTCTGCTGTTCCGCGCGTTACGTTTTCAGTAGCAAGGATCTAGATCATCTATAAGGTAACATTCAGCTCTAAAGTTCTAAGCTCAGGAGGAGATTGTCTGGAGACCACACGAAGGTCGCTGGATTACAGTTTCATAAATTCTACCCACAGCAAGATCTGGGTAGGAGGGGCAGTCCCCTCAGGACCCACGAGTCAGCGGCGGAAGATGCAGAATTTGCTCCCATCCAAACTTAAAGAAGAAAAGACATTAGAGAGAAGGTAGGAATGTGAATGTCACAGAATTGGCACCAATTCCGGTGATTTCCAAGGCCACATTCCCTGCCGTGAAAATGCAACACACTTCAGAAGTCTTATTTAATTCAAAAATTCTCCTTTTCCTTTCTTCCTCCCGCCCACACTGCCACACAACCCAATTTTTTTTGAAACATCTCCGTGAGGCAAACCGGAGCTTGGAGCGGGGGTGGGGGTGGAGGACTGTCAAAATGTGAATAGCTCAAAATCGGAGTTTTTTCCCTTCAAATTTCAGCCTAACAGTTTTAGACTATAGCTGATTAAGAAAGAGGAAACTGTGAGTGCTGCCCCTTTTTCAATTCCCTAAATAGTGGCTCTCCAAGTTTCAGGATAACACCAACGTTACAAGGAGAGGGGCACATGAGTGAAAAACAACAACGGACAAAAAAAAATCCTGGATTAAAGAAGATTCCTGAACTATAACACCAGTCATGCCAGCTTATTATACATCCTAGGAATTAATTAGAAACCAGTTAATCTCTAATCTAAGAGAATAATATTGCATCTCTTGCTTTAAATGTTTGAGCTTCAACTGACATTTCATTTGTTCAGAGGATTTTTTTTTCTGCTCTTTCCTGTTAAGAGACGTCAGCAAAGCTGTATGTAATCAACTTTTTCATTCCGCCTGGCAAGGACCCTTAGATGCTAAGACAGGAGATGTACGGTGCCTCTGTCATGGATTTGGATCCACAGCATATGGATACACAGCAGTAAAAGAGCAAATGTTTAATGAGACACCTCAGCCCCCAAATGCGACCTGTTCCAATACTTTTCAAACTCTGCCTAACTCGTCCAATGCTCTCTGCTGGCATTTGCAAGGAGAAAGGAATTAAGCAACGGCAAATTGTCTTCCTGAGCCTGCAAATACCATTCCCATGCGAGGTGCCCCCACTTCCTCCTCTGGAAAATGGCAATGGAAATGACCTACCTTATTTAATCAGTGTTTATAATGCTTGATTAGCCCCTCAGGCCACAGCAGCTAGGTTTCGCTAAGAATGGAAAGTCCTCTCCACGGGCCTTTTTCTTTCCCTGCTTCTGGGAGATTCAGCGCGCTCCAGTGCGACTGGCAGTACAAAGTGACTTTCACTTCCATGCAGCCTGGGTCGACGGAAAATACGCAATGATGGGAGGGAGTTAAAAATGAGCCACAGTTCACCTGGGCTCCCAGGAGAGCCTAAGATGGAAAATGGGCCAAACAAAATAATGTCTATTTTTAGCTCATAAATAGGCCAGCAAAATTATATTCAGTCTTGATAAAGTGCTCTGGTACAAATGAAGCCAAGAAGATCCTCCTTTGCCTGGCCATCTCCACAGTTCTTCACGCATTTTATTTTGCTACATGAAGAAAATAACAGGAGGCTTGTTACGTAATGACTCCACATTCAAAAGGAATTAAAGACTATAAGTAACTACTCTGATTGTTTAAATTATTATGGCTACTTAACTCTAATCACCTGGGTATTTCAAAGGGTTTATGTGCCACCTTGCCCCGGCCCCAATAAAAATTATCTGGGTAAATATTGCTGTTTTCCTATATACTTTGTTGTGGAGATAAACTTGATCCTCAGCTTTCTCGCTTGGAAGTCAACTATTAAATCTTTCCAGCACCTAGATTTTATGACATTAAGTTGTAATTCACTGCCCTGCCTTTAGAAATTTGCAAATCAAAAATTCATTCATTCACTTTTTCTTTTCAAGAAATACTTATTGAGTATCAATTATTTGCCAGGCAGAGTGCTATATATGTGGCATACAAGGACAACCGTAACAAAATACCTCCTCCATCATAGAGGTTATAGTCTTGTGGTAAAGACAAAAAGTCAAATAATTTAATAAATCCTAATTAGCAACTGTACTGTGTACCAGTTCTGTGAAAGCTTAAGAATGGGGGACTCAACTGGTTCTATGAAAGTAACATTTGACCTGAGAACAGAAGGGTAAGGAAAAGGCAACCAGGTGAAGGGTGTAGTGGAAGGACTGCAATCAGAGAGAATAGCATGTGCAAAGGCCCTGTGGTAGGAGAGAGCACAACATATTAAAAGAAGTGAAAAAAACTGCAATCTTGTTGCATGTAGCATTAACTGTACCAACAATGAGTCCTGCAGAACATGAGAGGAGGGAGGGTCTGCATTCAGGAGAGGTTGTCAGCGAAAGCTTCCTGGAGAAAATGGGACTCAGAACAAAACTTTAAAGAAATGAAGATTTTAGAGAGGGAAGTATTAAGTATTTCTGGCAGCTGGGACAGCAAAAACAAAAGCATGGAAGCATCAAAGCATAAAACATACTATCTCCTTTTTATTGCCTTTCTTTTAATTTATGTTTACATGCACTTGTTTATTTGAAAATCAAAGATATACATTGTTGTATTTTACAATTAAACTTATACAGAGAGGGACCTAAAATAAAAAGAATCAGTCCTTCTCATACAAAAGTTAACTCAAAATGGATTATGTTTAAATGTAAAAGGTAAAACTAGAAAAGTAGAAAAGAACAAAGGAGAAAATTTTCAGGATCTTGACAACACAGCACAATCTGCAAAAGAAACATTTGATAAATTGAACTTCATCAAAATTAAAATTTTTTTTCTACAAAAGCCCATGTGGGGAATATGAAAAGACAAGCTAGAGACTGGCAGGAAACATTTGCAAACCAAATATCTAACAAAAGACTGGTAGCTAGGGCATATAAGGGACTCTCAAAATTCAACAGTCAAAAAAAACAAGAAAAGAAACAAAAAACCAATTAGAAAACAAGCAAAAGAAAGGAGGAGACATTTCACAGAAGAGGATACACATGTAGCAAATAAGCACATGAAAAGATGCCCCACAGGTTAGCCATCAAGGAAATGAAAATCAAAACCATGAAGAGATGTCACTCAACACGCATCAGAATGGCCGAAACAAAAAAGTGACAACGCTAAATGCAGCCAGGACGCGGAGAAACGAGATCACTCACATGTTGCTGGTGGGAATGCAAAATGGCGCAGCCACTCTAGAAGTTCGGCAGTTTCTTATAAAATTAAACACTCAACTACTGTATGACCCAGCAATTGCCTTCTTGACACTTATCGCAGAGAAATGAAAACCATTAACATATTCTCACAAAAACCTGTGGATTACTGTTCCTGCTAGATTTATTCATAATGGCCAAAAACTGGGAACAGCTCAGCTCTCCTTCAACCAGTGAGTGGTTAAACTGTGATACATACGTGGATACATACCCACCTTGGAATACTATTCAGAAGTGAAAAGTAACCAGCTATTGATACACACAACTTGATGAACACCCAAGGATTAGACTGAGGAAAAAAAGAGCCAAAAGTCACATACTGTGTGATTCCGTTTATATAACTTTTTTTTTTTTTTGGTGAAGAAGATTGGCCCTGAGCTAACATCCACATCAATCTTCCTCTATTTTGTATGTGAGATGCCACCACAATATGGCTTGATGAGCAGTGTGTCAGTCTGCACCCAAGATCCAAACCCATGAATCCCAGGCCACTGAAGCAGAGCACGCAGAGCAGAGCACGCAGAGCAGAGCACAGAACTTAATCTCTATGCCAGCAGGCTGGTCCCTATAACATTTTTGAAATAAAATTTTAGAAATGAGAACATGTTCCTGTTACCAGGGGTTAAGGATATTGAACACTGTATGTAAAAAGTGAGATAGATATTTGCAGTCTAGAATGATATTATCTTCCCTCAGAGCATTTTCTTCTGACAGGTAACTAGGGAAGTAGTAACCCCAAATCACCTTAACCAATAAAAGAGTTATGTGATTAAAAGCTAAGCATCAGTTCATGCAAGGTCTGGTTTATTTAGGATTTACTCTTAGTCCTAGCATACTGCTCTTATATGTCTTAACCACATGGGATACACCAAGGCCCTTATACTTGCCGACTGTGAACTCCAATATTTGTTCCCAAGTCATTTGAGTCTACCAAAGCTGTGCCCGGCTCTGTTTCTCAAATCCAGAGATGTCCCTATGGTTAAATCTCACCTCTAGAGGCTTCTTCTTGGCTTCCTACTTCTTCACTGCCTTGTTAATTCTCAATGCTTCAAACAGAATCTTTCCTCCTGATTTTCTAGTTCTTCTCATTGGGAGGGTTCGTCTAAGCTGTCTAGTTTGCCTTTAGCGGCGGAGGAAGTCTCAGTTGCCTGCTTGTGTTGAAATTTATATAACTTCCCCCATTTTTCCTCTGAAGACTTTCTCCCACAGCCATCAATCCTCTTGTTCCAATCCGAAATATTTACTCCCTAAACTTCCCCTTGTGAAAGATAAAAATCCTTTGTCCTCACAGGTCTTGAAAATGTTTGCATCCCATTTGATTGGATCTTTTTCTGGCTATGATGGTTTACTTTGACCACAATTTTCACTCAGATTTTTGAAGTCATTTGCCACATTATCTTCTAGCACTCAAGTTGCTGATGCGGACACAGCTTCATTGGATCTGGGGAAATTTCTTATCTCTCCTCCTCTTCTTCCTTCACCTCTATGTATCTTGTTCTTCTTCACCTTTCCCGCATCCTGTTCTCTTCCTCTTCCCCTCCACTCCTGTTCTACCCGCTTCTCCTTCTTTGTTGATAAGAACTTCCTCTCTGTTTCTCCACACTGCATTGCCTATTGGTTGGCTGTTGGGTTCTCATTACCAGTTATCTATATTCTTATTCTTTGCTTTCCAAATTTTTATCTTTATAGGTTTTCATAATAAATTCTGAGCAGCATTCTCAATTTTTATGTTTAATCCCTTCTGTTATATTTGTGTGTTGTGTATTTCAGCAATCATATTGGTGATTTTTTCGATTTTAGTTTCTTCTTGCTGTCTGACTATTCTATTCTTACAGTATTCTGTGCTTATTTTAGAAATGAATTATATTCTTTTACCTAAAAATGTTAATTTTTGTATGTATCTCTATGTAGTGATTTTAAAATATGTCCACAAAATCTTTTCTAGTCCATCCCTCAAAAGATAAAGATGAATTCCCCTCTCCATGAGTGTGTGCTGTAGGGACTCGGTTCCAATGAATAGAATACAGCAGGAGTTGTCATCAGTAAGATGGCCAGTTAGTCAACTTAAAATCTACAAGTACAAATGTATATGTTCTCAGATCTCATTCATCTACGCTCCTAAGTTGTGGAGTAACTTCTCTGTAACAAGGCTAAGAACATGTCCAATTGAAAGACAAGTTGAAGTATTTTAGAAAGATAATATGACATTTAAAAATATAGAAGCTAGTTACTTTAATAATGAATTCAAATTCCACAAGCTACTAAAAGCAGTTTTTGTACAATCAGGTAAATTAAATATTTCCTTTCCAGCAAAGCAAGAACTGCCATAAAGGACAAAGCAGAAAACAGATAACATATTCAGTTTGTGTGAACATATAATTCCATAGAAGAGACAGATAGATTGCTAGCTGAAATTAGAACAACCCAGGACTAATGGTAAAAACATGCCAGTGGAAGTAAAAGGACTTGTTACATAATCTATAGTGAGGTTTGATGCATAATGGGAATCCTTGTTAACGTAGTGGCAGAAATTACCAGCTCCTGATTGTATGGATATTAATACTCAACTTTTTAGTGCATATGTCAAGCACTGAGCTGGATCGAGAGATTCAACGGTGAGCAAAAAATAGACATGAGGCCTGTTTTGAAACTCATTTTCTTGAGAGAGATAGAAACATTAATCAAATAGTCACACAAATAATTATGTGACTAAGTCAGCATTTCCCAAACTTTGGAATACAGAATTTATTAAAAATGAAAATGTATTGCTGCAACACCAATAAGAGATCATAAGGTATAATGTGCAAATGAATGAGAGCAGACAGCAAGAAGAGGTATCACACACTACTTAATTGACTGTGAGGAGTGATAAAAATTTGATTCATGTGGGGTTTTATTGTATAATAGAAAAAATCCAAATTAGAGAGAGAAAATATTTTATTAAAAACAAGAATAACAAGATAATAAAATATCCCAATATATGTTAAAAAATAAGACAAGATATACAAGATAGACCAGCAAAGACAAAATAGACCACATACATCAATATGATAGTTAGTTTGTAAATGCTGCCTATGCATCAATGCACAAACTGAATGTCCTTTACACGTGCAGCAGCTGATCAATCATGCAGTATCTTGGCATTCTTCATGATTGCACCCCATTTCTTAAAAGGCAGACTCTGACATACTAAAATGAACAGGGATGTAAATGTTCGTAATATTTTTTACATACATATATATTTTAAAAAAATACTGTTTATAAGATAACTTATTTCATGCATCACTTTCTTTTTTCATGGGCACTCCTTTTTACCCACAC